TTTGAATTTATATTTTAACTGAAAAAAAAAAACTAACTAACAGGGCAGGCCCGCGCCCCGCACCCGCCTTACCCCGACATGCCCGTCCTGTCTAAGGCAAGGCGAGGCGGGACGGGATGGATGTGCCCCGCTCCAAATCCGCCCCGTTGCCATCACTAATTATGAATATGTCGTTAAAATTAATTTTTAACTTTGATTGAATTTATAATCAAATTTGTAAGTTGCATTTGAATGGAGTCTAAGATTATGGTCGGGAGGAATCGGAATCTTATCTCCTAAAATAAAACGTAGAAAGTTTAGGCCACGAAGAGTTTATATATTGTGTCCATTTCTTTATAAAGAAAAATAAAAATAAATCTAAGAGGTGCTGATGTTTAGGACAATTTCATGTAGATGCCTGGGACTTCTTGTTTTTTGGAGTTCTAATGTAGTTTGAATTGTTTTTGGAATTGCTTGTTATGTAATGGCATTCTTCTCATGTGCATGAATGATTGAATGTTAGTGTTTTTGGTGTGTGAATGTCATTGTAGTTTGAATTGACACGTGGATTGTGCTTGAATTGAGAATAATGCGGAGCATGCGAGAAATTAATGCACAAATTTTCGTACGCAGATCTTCATAGGGCAAGTAATTTAAGATAATCGAATTTAAAGTTTAACGCAAAAAAATTGAAGTGCAATTTGAAGTTGTGAATAAAAAAATTATGCACTGTTGAAGTTAGAAAATCGAGCAAACTCAAGATTTCAGTAATAAACTCGATATTTGTCCATTATACTCGACTTTTGCTTAGTAAACACGATATTTAACCTATTAACTCGTCGGGAAAAATTCAAGATGTCACCAAGAACTTAAGATTTGTTTGAAATTTTGATACACTATGTCAAACTTCGAATTTTTAGGATCCTTGGAAAAATCGCACATGGACTGCATGCGACAATTTTACGGAGCAAATTGAGAGAATGAGATGACGGGTGATTTGCACGTAAAGTGATAGATCTGAGGACTCAAGTGGGTAATAGGAGTACAACAAAGGTGACCTATAGGAAACAATTTTGTGCCATTTACCCCATTTAAAATCTCAATCCATTAACCGCCGGAACCCTAATCCACCCCGCGGTAAAATTAAGAGTTTAACAAAGAGTAAAACTCCAATTAAACAATTAATTTTTTATTTTACCTGGGTGTGGATGCACCGAGTGCTGAATGCTAATGTCATATCTCTTGAATCAGTTGAATGCCATACGCCATCTTGCTGAAATTGAAGCCATGGTAACCCCAACTCCACTCCATCCCACCCCCCTCCCTCTGAAAAACTAAAAGAAAATGCAAAATTTTTTATTAGTATTATCGATTCTTTTTGTTTCCTCTGTCCAATTAATTTCTGTTCTTATGGTTATTATTCTTTAAGTGTGTAATTGGTTTCGATTTTTATGCTTGAAGCCACGATCGATGACCATGCGTATGGATCTAGATTAAAGCTGTGATTTTTTAGTTTTATCTTTATGGGATTTTCCCCCCATTCTCCTTTGGCTGAATTGATGAAGCATTTACGTGATCGTGTATCTTAAATGATCCTTTATCATGTCTGCGTGAGTGCATGTCGAAAGATATAAGGAATGTTTTTTTTTTCCTTTAATTCGGGGTTTATTTGTTACAAATTCAGGATTATAATTTATACCGTGAAATTTTATTAAAGCTCATTATTGAATATGCAAAATAATTGAAATTTTTTGCTCTTAAGTGGTTTTGCAATGCATTTATTTTGTGAATTTCGTTAATTTTACAGGCCACGTCGAAGAAAGTCATAACTAGGGAAGAATGGGAGAAAAGGCTGAACGATGTAAAAGTAAGAAAAGAGGATATGAATAAATTAGTGATGAATTTTCTGGTTACCGAGGGTTACGTGGAAGCTGCGGAAAAATTCAGATTGGAATCTGGGACAGAGCGTATCCCCTTTTAATTTATTCATTGCCTGTTTCACTGATATTAATATGCTTGTTTTTTGGTGTTTTGTCGTAGTGTTTTTGGTTGCATTTCAGCTTTAAGCATATTGTTGATTTTCCTTATGGTTATATAGCTGACATAGACCTTGCCACTATCACGGATCGCATGGCAGTTAAGAAGGCAGTACAGTGTGGTAACCTGGAGGATGCTATTGAAAAAGTTAATGATTTGAATCCCGAGGTGCGATAACATATCGTTCTTGTTGTTATCAATGGGAAATAAAGGAGGTTTAATGATGTGCTCAAACTTCTTACATACTTGCCTTTTGTTTGCTTGTCACACGTCCAATGAAGTTTGGATGCATTTTTATTTATTGAACAATGGATTGATGCTAAGCACCACTAATGCTGCATGTTGCATAGCATTATTCCTTTTGAAGTCGTGTTTGTTGATTTTGGTCTGTTCTTAGTGCTCTAGGATTGCTTGTGATCATAGATGAGAGATAGTCTTTGAAGTCTAGCTGTACATTTTTTTTCTGGAATTTGTTGCTTTTCAGTTTTCATCTAATTCAATAAGATTTCTGAATTTTGTATAAACAGTTTTATTACTTTATTCCTTTTCTTCTTCCAGCATTGGAGTATCTTTCGTACATAAAAGAAAGCTCAACCCAATGCAGAGGAGTTGTGGCAGTAGTCTATATCGTATTAGCAATTACAAGTGTTAAGACTAAGAAAGGAATCTTAAATACCAAAATTTAGATGAAAAATTGAGGTTCTAATTTAAATATATGGCCCCCAAAAGGGGCGTATATACCTCTGTGATGCTGTCACTTGCTATAAATATTTAAATGAAACCAAATAAAGATTCTGTCGATCTACCTTTGTGTGTGGTTGTTGATATCTTTGAAGTTTGAAGCTTAGGTTTTTGGGGTTGAATAACTGGTGCATACCACTAGCACTTATTGTATAGTTTATGCTTGACAAAATTTTATGGTTAATGATTTGCAATTATCAGAATTGCTCAAATTTTTTTTCCCATTCCATTATGATACATTTTTATTTATCTTTTTGGATGTAGATCTTGGATACAAATCCACAACTCTTTTTCCATCTCCAACAGCAAAGGTTAATAGAGCTAATTCGGAACGGAAAGGTAGAAGAGGCTTTAGAGTTCGCTCAAGAGGAACTTGCTCCACGGGGAGAGGAAAATGTAATTTTCAGCTTGTTGGTTATGCTTTTACCTGTTTCCTTGTTAGTCTTATTTAAGCTAATCCTAGTTTTCACAAATGAGATTTATCATTGTAATATGCAGTTGCATTTCTGGGATCGCTTTTCACTACCTTTATAAAGTGTTAATGAAAATTCCTCATCATAAATACTCGTTTTTTTCCGATACTGATTCTAAAATATAACCATAATTTCAGCAAAGCTTTTTAGAAGAATTGGAGAGGACAGTTGCGCTGCTTGCTTTTGAAGATGTCACCAACTGCCCTGTTGGCGAGCTGTTAGACATATCACAGCGCCTTAAGACTGCTAGTGAGGTGAATGCTGCTATTCTTACCAGTCAGAGCCACGAAAAAGGTTAGTACCTGTTCATTTTAAATATTCTCGAGTTTTGTTTTAATGCATTTCAAGGGAATATGAATGTTTTGTCATACAAATTTAAATTTGCTTTAAAGTACTTGATACTGTTTAACATATAAATATTAAAACATAGGGTTCTAGTTCGTAACTACCCAGCCACCCAACTCCGACTTTGGCAGATCTGTTGGCGACATGTGGATTAGTAAATTAGACCAAAGATTTTCTCGGCAAAATCTGACCAGTATTAAGACTACCCGGTAAAAATCATAAACCAATTTGTAAACCGAACAACAATAACAATTGCAATGGCTTAAATGTCTTTGTGCACCTAAGATTTTGTGGTAGTAGAGAATGGCTATGGTGGATGGAGCTGGTAGAGTGGTTAGGGTTCCCAACTTGGTTTAATGATTGTGGTGATAATGTCAGAGAGTCAGAGCTTTGAATGCCGGTTGGTGTTGCTGCGGAAGAAATTTTTTCAGTTATTTGCTGAATAAAAAACAAACAGATCTAAGTTAGATTGTAAGTTCTATACCTTTAACTAATTTTAAATGAGAAAGAATTTATCCATTATTATTTCATGGCCTACCACAGCAGACAATACAGATCTTTGGACTTATGTCTAAGCTGTTGGTGGAGGTTTATTGGCAGCAGGGAGTGGTGGCCAATGAGTGAAGAAAAGGCATCGATCTTAGAGGTGGTGATGCATGCGGGTATTTGCCTGCGTCATAGAGAGTGAAATTTTTGGAACTTTTTACTGATCTCTTGATATTTTTTCAGTCAGTAGTGAATTCGTTTTATGTCCTATTAAAAGCAATCCAGTTATTCATACAACTAGCATTTATTACATGAGAAATCTGTCACTGAGAGGGCTTGCCTATAGTAGGTAATTTCACATTTGATGTTCTTTCTGAGGATTCTTCTGTAATTGTGCTTTCATTGCAAAGTATCCTATGCATTTCATACATCTCGCTAAAATTATCAGAATCCAAATTACTATTATTTCAACAGATCCAAAGCTTCCGAGCTTATTGAAGATGCTAATATGGGCGCAAAATCAACTTGACGAGAAAGCTGCTTATCCTCGAATAAATGATTTATCTACCGGAGCACTTGAAGATCCTGCTGTTTGAAGGGATTTCCAGTGTCTGTATGATATAGGTTCGTCTTTCTGGTGTTGCCATTTCAAGAAAATGATGGGAAATTGAAATCTGTGTACTTTAATTTGGACGACCTTTTAGCGATTCACATATATCGGGCTTATGAAAACGTGTTAGGTTGGTAGTGTTTATTCAGTGGTGAATTTGGCATGGCTCGTGTACAGAGTCCATATATGATCAAGATTGTGTCATTAATTTATGTAAAATAATAATAGACCAGAATTATCTTTATGACTTCCCAATTCCCATTTCTACCTTCACGGTCGGATTGATATTGCCATTGCCGTCTCAATGATACCCAATTATATATCTAATAGCCCTATCAATTTTTATTTATTTTTTATTTATAATCGTGGATGTCCTGACTAGCTTGCGGGCACCTCGACTAATCCCACGAGGCCATAAAGTTTACGGTCGAGTACTCATCTCAATAACTTTGAGGGGATTCGAACTGATGACTATTGGGGAGCAAATTCAAGGCCTGACAAATTGAGCAATCCCTCAATGTTAGCCCTACCAAATATTCACTAGAGGCAACAATAAAACCGTCATAGTTTTGATAGGTAATCTACTCCCGTTAAAATGTTGTGTTCCTGTTAAACAATTCTTGATACAAATGCTAATCTATGACAGATTTGGAATTCCCCGAATTAAGTTTGAGGGCCCTCTCTGAACTTAATTATTAATTTTATATTATCACAATAAGTATAAATTTTTACTCTTTGAACAAGTTGAAGCTTGTCTCTGGTACTAATTGTAAAGAGCATTTCTAAGAGGCTCTTGTGATGCTCTTTATTTTAAAGAGTCGGTCTTTAAATTTATACTCCAAGAGATTTTTTAAGTTAACATTTTAAATTAAGGAGTGAGTCTTATAATCAAATGCATTCAAAGGATTTTAATTTTCAGTCGAGGAAAATAATATAATAATTTGGAGGGAAGTCAGGGAAAATAAGAGATAAGGAAAAATAATAAACATTTTTTTAGAGTAATAAAATTAAGTGTTAAATATAAAGAGTTCATTGGAATAATTATTTTTTTTTTGTACTTTCTAAATTGCAAAATATGCTATAAATCAAGTATTAAAAATTGTTGCCTCGATATTCTGCTCTTAAAACAGTAACTGCACATATTCTTTGAATTTCAACATAAAGAGTCTAAAGTTCACGGTAAGATGACAGTATAATAAAGCTCATAAATCATCATAACAAACAGAAATGCTTTGCTACTCCTTAAAAATGCTGTGTGTAGACATTATTGGCAGATGACAACTCATAATTTCTATGGCTCCATTTCCATTTTCCACCCAGATAACATAAATCCAGATAGTATTCTTTGGATAGTCCTGAAATTTAGGCTGGTGAAAAGCACTTCCCATTTGTTGAGAACCATCATCAAAATTCAAAGCATAACTGGAAGGATCATACTGGAACTTGACTTGCTGTTTGCCTCTGTTCTTGACTGCCTTTATTGTTGCTGCTCTCATTTTCCAGAACAGCCTTCTGCATTGCTTCTTCCCATAGTTCTGCACCCACACAAAACTTCCCAACAGCCCCATACAAACTTTGACTGAAATTATTTACTGGGTTCAGTTAAATCAAGAATCTCATGTATATGAAGAAGAAATGGTTCCACCCTCATAACAGAAGAAGGGAATGGAAAGAGCACTTGTTTTTATACTGGTAGAGAATTGAAGTGACCAAGAAGAAAAGGGCTTTTTTTCTGTGAGAATTGGGAATAGTAATATATGTTGGCATTAAAAACTCAAACAAGAAAACAAAATGTAAAATCCTTTTGGTCTATTGATAAAAGCTGCAGGCTCTTCATAGTGTACTATTCCACTTTTTTTTCTCTGCCTCGAGAGACTCAAATTCCATTGTCTACTCTCACCCATCCCACTAGCCCCCTCCAAGGTCATATCACTATCAAATTTGTTACACGATAAGAAATAAAGTGTTCCTCCATCTGACCCTCCTCTTTTCTCTACATTGTTATTAATAATTGCTCTGAGCAAACGCGCTACTTAAAAACTTATTAATAATTTTCCTTTCATATTTAAATATTAATTTCAACAATACATTCATAAGTATTACTTATTTATTATCTACATATTTCATGAG